TCCTAATGTGGCTGAAAGTCAGTGCCTAGTGGCTTTCCATCTTAGACTCCTTTGTAGTCGGTTTTGTTTTAGGTGCATTTACTGTTGGTCTGTACTGTTGATTCCCTTCAACATTTTTATGGTGCTGTTTTTTTTGCTGCAGATGTTAATAGGTCTGCTGTTTTCCATTTACTTCAAATATCTTTTGTCAATTTCATAAGTATATACCATATTTCTTCAAATACAAGATAAGGTGTTTTCCCCAAATCAACATAGGGGTGGAAAAGCCCCTCTATTTTTGCAGGGCAAATATACAAAGGGGCTCCTTATACAAGGAGACTTCATTAAATATAAAGTCTGTCATTAAACTGCTTCCCAAAGCAGCATGTGCTCAGTAATGGAAACCAGCTATGAAGCTGATTAAATGCAGCCAGCACTGAGCATGATTATAAAACACATGGTCCATATTGGACAAATGTACTGATGGGAACCTGCCAGAATGATAGTTTAGTGTAGTCCATCTGAATAAGATGTGTGGTAGTGCCCATTCCACGCAGTCAGGTCATGGGGAGCCCTGCTGCATTGCATATGTTTTGACTTCCTCTTCACTCCCACAGCTGAGGTGTGCTTTCTTTCCCATTTCTAATGATCCCTGTTTCTTCACCAGCCTTAAATGTCTGGCAAGTATCACCAAACCAAACAGTTTGCCCAGAATCTCTCTTTTGCCCTCTCAGCCTGTTGCATATGTTTATTGTGGCCCTGCCCTCCATGAAATAGAGCTAGACCAGGTTGCCCTGTGCCTTCTCTGCATATAAATTTTTGGAGGATCCCAGGACTCCTGACAAGAGTATCTGGCTCCAGTCACGAGTGGGGTACTAATTAGCACATGGATCCTTTGTGCAGGGTTTCTGGGATACACACACATACTGAGCAGTGTTTAGCTATGGGGTCGCTAGTTCCAAATGCTGTTGACTCTGTTGGGCCCAGCCCAGTGAACTATATGGTAAATCATGAGCCCTTTGTCTTTGGACTAATATCGTGTAGTTTGCCGTTTATATAAAAAAGTACAGAAGTACTCCTTGAAAGTGTGTTTATGGAATACCCATGCTAAAACTTGTAGCAGTTTCAAAAAAGGTCAACTTAATCAATTCTGAGTGAATTAAGACTGTGGGTACCTGTAATAATTTGTCTGTATGCAAATTACTACAGGTATGTTTATTTCAAGGCCACTGTTTTCAACTTTGCCTCTCACTTCCGTGTGTTCAGGGAGAGCAGGGTCTGACAGTAAAGGGGGGGAATCAGAAGGGGCTCCAGGGGGAAGAAGTTTGAAAGGGGGGGGGGGCCAGAGGGCAAGGGGGCCACCTAACCCCCCAGATATATTTTCTCTGCTGTAGAGGGACAAATTCAAGGCCACTGATTAGATTCTGTACTTGGAAAATCATAACAAATTTATAAATTTTCTACATATGGACTCTAATTACAGGGGCAATATCCTATATTCAGGCTCATCTTATATTCAAGTAAATATGATACTCTAACTATTAGCACAGTATTCTGAAGTCCGCTCAGCAAAATGCTTTTTTTTCCTTTTTGTTTTGTTTTGAATACATGACGCTAAGCTAGGGATAATCTCTTCTCATGCAGGCCAGATATTAGCTGCTTATTCTCAGTATATCATTGTACTCTTTTTTTTTTAATGCTTTGCATTAGCTAGGTTAACATTTTAGATACCTGTATATTTCCAGAGCATTCTTGTAGTTCGTATTTGTCCTTAAAGCTGATTATTTTAGGTTTTCATAGTACTGCCTATCACTAAATGGCTGAGTGCCTCTGTGTAAAATGAATAGCTTTAGGAAAGTCTTTGGCACTTCTCTCTTCTTGAAATAAAACTTGAGGAGTAAGGCTTTTATTTTTATATTGTATTGATTTATTTTTAGATTGGTTCCAGAGTACCTTGTTTGGATGTTTGCCTAGGAGAGGGTGTTTTAATTTTATTCTTACAACTGAAAGGCCTTTCTGAAAAGTTTTTGAAGCGTTTCCTTAACATGGTAACTTTGGGTACACTCATATAGCCAGACCCATTCAAATAGAGAATGCTTTGTTCAGAGCTCTCATGCTCTTTGTTTGGCTTTATGATCTGCACTGATCCAAAGGAACAGAGCTGCCTTAGTTTATCAGTCAAGTTTTTGACCTTTTAATGTAGTTGGGCTTGATCCATTAAGTGCTTTGAGGATTACGACTAAAGACTTCCTAAATGGGCTTTGGAAGCTGACTGAGAGGCGATGTAGAGGGACTTGGGTATGGGCCCAATGTGCATATGGCAGCTTCAACCATGGAAAATATGGGTAGCCAGATACTGTATCAGATGGAGCTTATGTGGGGATTGCCTCTAATGCTATTGACCTGCTTCCATGGTATGTGTCTGTGTCTTTACCAGTCACTCTCGACTCCTCCAGTCATTTTTAACTCCTCTCTTGTTTTTGTTTGGTTTTTTTTTAAGTTAAGGTTTCCCTATAAATGCTAAAATTGGTGCTAGCTCAGTGTACGCAGTCACAACACTATCTGACATAAGAGTTTAAGTATATGATGTACGAAAGAAGATTAATTTGGTGCGCAGTATTCTTTTATCTCTTGAAGTCCTAATAGTTCTGTGCTGTGAAGGAAGGGAGGAGGAATGATGTGTTCAAAATGTACTTTCAAATTCCTTTTCAGAGGGGAAGTTTTTTCTGTAATTAGAGATTTGACAATGGAGCACTATTTATTAGTTTCCTGCCACTTAATAGGGCCACACATGGAGCTAATTAGGCAACTCCGCACCCAATGCGACTTAAGTGCCTAACTTTTTACACTCCTTTGACAGTTGATCTTAATTCTCATTTGCATTAATTATTGCTTTAAAGGAGCTGAAATCACAGAGAAATAATGAGGTCTTCTGTTCAGTAAATTAAAAAAAATATTTTTGTCCTGATTTCCATGCATTTAGGTAGGTTTGGGTTGGGGGGGGAATGTTTGGAAAACTTTGGAAAATGTTGGTTTGACTCACTCAGAACTACAGACATTTTCTCTCTTATCCTAGGATAGCCTCTTTTTGCAGCTTTTTGTCATGTTCTTTATACCTTCCAACTTAAAAAAAAAATTAAATTAAAAAGGAATTTCTGCAGGCAGCTCTCACAGGGACAGTACTATCTCAGGTCTCAATAAGGCAGAGGCCAGTTACAAAAAGAACGTGATTTATAGAGTTGAATGGTATCAGAGTATTTGTAGAAGGGGCAGAATTGAGTCTTAACCATAAATCTAACATTTTTCTAAACTACTGGCTTGTTGTCTTTATCTGGAACAAGGTTTCTCAATGTGGTTTTTATAAAATTTCCTTCCTTAAATACCATATGTAGCTGTGGGACATCATTAGTGAGTTGGTTCCATAATCTTGTGCTTTTCAGCTCAGTGTTGGGACCTGGGATCCTTGCATTCTGTCCCTTGGTTGAGAAGGATAGTTACCTTTCCGTCCTTTTGAGCTAATTGGCATATCTAGATAGTCATTTATTAGTAATGCTTTAAATTTTATGTAAAGCCCACTTGTATGTTCTTAAATTTGTGTTTGTAGGAAAATCTCTCTAGCAGACACCATCACCAAGCTCACATATTTGCCATATTCTTTTAGAGAGGCAGTGCGACTAACCGGACGTAATTTACGTATCCCATATGAGAGACCTAGGTTCTGCCAGAGTGAATCAGTGCAACCTCTCAGATCCTTTGATGTGGGAATGATAGTTGCCTGCCACTCAAATTAAGGGTATAAAACATGAAGTGTACTGAAAAATCACATTTAGCACTCATTTGTGTCTACACGTTGCCGTACAGTGACATTACTAAAGCGCGGTGCTGTAGCACTTTGTTTGGAAGAACTAAAGCACAGAGCAGTATGGGCAGTTACTGCACTGTATGCGGCACATAGCTAGATTTCACTGCTGCGCCATCATAGCGGCATGCTGCTACAGCAACATAGCTGGCGATCACATGTAGACCCTCATGATCGCTACATCGCCATAGGGCGATGTATAAATGCACCCATTCTGGCTTAGTCCAGTGCACCTTCCCTAAGGTAAATACTGGAGGGTGTTGAGAAAGGAGAGCAGCAGAAAAAATGAAGGATCTTTGTTTTCCATTGAGCTATGGTGTCATCACGTGTATGATGCAGGACTCTTGCGTGGGGGTATATGCAGCACACTTCAACTGTTAAAAAGACTGAAGGCTTTGAAAAGACTAAAGGCTACCAACCGTTTCAGTCTGGCAGCTTCTCATAGCTAAGCTTAGTTTCATAGGAGACAATGAAATATATCTTTGTAACATCAGAATATCTCCCTGACAAACTTAATGGTCCTACTTCAAATACCTGAGGAGGAAGAGCTGATTTTTCAAAGTATCTGGTTCCACTAAGTGCTTTCTGGAAAATGGCCAAATAATTTATTTAAAAAAAAAATCCATTTTAGGACGGGGACAAAGCATGTAAAATCCCAGCCTGTATACTTTAGTTTGTCAAAGTAAATGTAAATAAAGTTTTATAAAGTGTGTTAAGCAAACTTAAATACAGGTTTTATTATTCCTCTCCATTTGTTATGTAGTGAGCGTTTGAAAATACCAATACATTGCTGCAGTTGGAAAAAAATGCCTTGTGATATGTTACTTCATATGCTTTTTCTTCATGGTCAAAAAGAAAATGATTGCCCAACCTTAAGGTCTTATAAAGTATAATAATTTTCACAAAAGATAATAGTCAGCAGACAGTTTTTATTCAGATTTATAAAGAAGTATCTATCCAATGGGTTAAGTGCAGACTAAGTTATATTTAAGGGGAAAATGGGTCAAAATGATGTTAAAAGGAAATTCCAATTCACTATAACTAATTTCTCACTTTTTTACTTCCACTGCCTTATTAGCATTTTTGTCTTTGGTCCCTGATGCATATTATATACACAGAGCTGTGCAACTTGAAGCAAACAAAAGCTAGCAGGGAGAGAGCACATGCACATGAATGGAAGTGAAGGAAGAGCTTGTTCTAAATCTTTCCTTTCCTTTCCTTTCTTGGATTACAGTCCTATGTATTCTCTCTAGAGTATATTTACTTGCATTGTAATAGCATTTAAGAATCCATTTTAATAGCTTTTTATTATGTATAGTCATTGTTTTTTTCATTAGTAGCAGCTGAATATTACTTTTGCAGTCAGATCTTATTACTTTTTGCATCCAAAGCAAAGGTCAGATTGTCAGCTGGGAATTGAGAAAAAAATATCTATATTTATCTAGTGGTTACTTTGTCCCAACTGAAACAGAACAGCCGAACCCTATTTTCTGTTTAGCTTTCCTTTTCTCTTAGCTTTTCTTATATTCAGTTAAATTGCCGCCCTGCCCTGCCATAGGTATACTAGAAAATGTGTCATTTGCCCATAAGTTTTACTGTAGTTAAATAGGTATAAAACTAACCCAAAAGTCTGGAGCTTAGGATAATTATAGTCAAGTTGGAAAAATGGTCAGTATCTTTGTTCACTAGCTTAGATGTAATAAGTACTTAACAGTGATGAAATAAATGGTGTATTGGATAAAAATTCCGCAAGACTGGCCTCCTGCTGCCCATGGGTGCCATGACATGGTGGTAGTAGCCAAGTAAAATTGCCCTATACATGCTCCTTGTGAATTAGGGCTTTGATCAGCTTAAAGCTGACAGGAGCTAGCTGATGCTGTAGGTGCTCCTCTCAAAAAGAGGCCCGTGGGGCTCTCCCACTGTCTGTTTCTGAAGGAGCTTGGCAAGGGGGTCAGACCAGGAAGGGCAACATAGCACAAGGCAGCTCCTGCCTGCTTTAGATTGATCAGAGCCCTAGTGCAGCAGTGTCATGTGCACATGCCTCAGCCCTTCCCAGGCTGGCTGTGCAGCAGGCACTTTTACCTGGAGGCAGTATCACCTAGTTGAGAAGCACTGAGGTAAGTTGAGGCAGCCCCGCCAGTGATTCTCAACTGGGGGTACTGCCACATTGAAAAAGGTGAGCAAGAGGTGCCCTTATCCTGAAAAGCATCACTGCACTAATAGATTTATTGCTGTTAGTTTATTTCACTGTTTGTTTTACCAAAATTTTGAATCTTAACAAAAAAAAAATTTACTATCTGTCTCTCTCTAAATAAAATGTTCTTAATGCATTTTAGGCTCACTGGTGGGCAGTATTGCTTATGGGAATTGCTCTGATCATGTTAATGGCTGGATTCATTAAGATATGCAGTGTTCATACTCCAAGCAGTAATCCAAAGTTGCCTCCTCATAAACCACTCCCAGGTAAGTTAAGTACATTCAGATTTATTAAAACTACAGAAAGATATGAAGAACATTTAGAAAGTATTGGGATGCTGGAGCACTAGTCCTATAGTTCATATTATGGCACTGTGAAACCACAAGAGTTCATGTGGGCCTTTTCAGGTGGTGGGGCTATGTACAAAAACTAATTTACTGCTTCATCTGCAGAGATAAAATGACATCTCATCAGTCCTAAAGAAAGCATGCAGTTGTAAACTTTTACACAGAAAGCACTGGAGCAATCTTTCTCATTACCTCTGCTCCCACACCACTTTTTTCTGAAAATATCTGCTTCAGTAACTTGTTTTTAATATGCCACACATTCACATTGTGCACTTGGTGTATTGTTTAAAACAGCTCTTATCACAGTTTTGTATCTTGTGCTCCTCAAATAACGTAAAACACTAATTCTCATAATATGTGTGTTCAGAATAATATGTTGCAATGGTAATCATGTGTTCTTTGTGTTTATGTGCAATAACAGGCACTTTAAAGAGGAGGAGACCACCACAACCAGCTCAGCCACCACAACGTCAGAGGCCCCGAGAGAGTTATCAGATGGGACACATGAGACGCTGACTGCAGCTTTTGCCTTGGTTCTTCCTAGTGCCTACAATGGGAAAACTCCACTCCAAAGAAAACCTATTAAATCATTGTCCCCAGTCTAAGTCTCAGAAGAAAAAAAAAAGGCAAGATACAAAACAAGTGGCGAAGTTTAACTTTTAACAATTGAAACTTCAAGCTAAAAAAGAAGAGAAAAATGATTTTCATACAAACATTTTTAACCGAATGGCACAAAATCTTAGATTACCATGGTTTTTCCCCCTTCTGTGCTCTTCATTGCTGCATTTTTCTTCACTTGCAGGCAAATATGGCTCTAGTAAACTTTTATTCACAAATTGAAAAAATATATATTTTTCAACTGCCAGTGAAGGCTAGGAAGCTAGACCACCTCAACATTGGAGACATTACTTGCCAATGTATATAAATTGTTATATGCAGACATGTATTTCTAACGTACACCCGTACTTTGTGTGCAATTGTAAACAAAAAATTGCAATATGGATGTTTCTTTGTATTATAAAAACTTTCCGCTATTAATGAAGAAATTACTGTTTAATTGACATACTCAGGATAACAGAGGATGGTGGTATATAATGGTCAAGGATTCAGTGATGCTTTACACAGCAGTTTTTGAATCAAATCAAACTTTTTTTATTATGATCAGAGTTGGTTTAAATACTCATTTCATTTTTTATCAGAACAGCTGCTAAGACATAGCATACATGATTGAATGCTCTTAGAGTTGTGTAAAGCAAGTGTTGTGCAAACTTTGCCTATGCCAGAATGTTTCAAAATTGCATTTACTGTTTCCAATTTTTCATAGTTCAGCATACGTATTTTTAATTTTTGTCTGATTATTCAGTTAAATAATGAATAGTTGGATGAAATAATTTCATGCTTTAGTAGAAAAATATGCCTGTTATACAACTTGTTTTTTAATGATTACAACCAGCTTATTTGGGTTGTTCGGATATACTTACTGTATGATAATTAGGTTCCTGATTCTGAGGGATGTGGAAAAGATGAAAAGCTGTTGTTTTATTATTATTATTTTTTTTAATTTATCAAATATATTGATAACTTTTCAGCCCGATACTGTTAATGGATAACCACTAAAATACAATAATTTGCCCAGCTACATAGCTGAGTTAAATTGTAGTTAGGCCTACTGACTGTCTCTAATTTTTTTTCTTTTACAAGTAGTGAAGTTCAAACAGCGCAATGTCCCATTCCAAAGTTTTTGGTTTTTTTTACAAATGTAAATAATTGGCATTTTTAAAAGAGAAAACAAAACAATTGAATGTCTTACTATGCTTACTGCTATGCAGGAAATGAAAGGGGGGCATTACAAAATGTATAAGCTTCTTATATATTTATTGCTTATTTTCCAAAAGCACCAAGCTAATTAGAGGCAAAAAGCTATAATTTTCCTGGCTTTGCTTAGGAGAAAATTTACTAAAGGTTGGACAGGCTTCCTTTTGTGGTTTTTTTAAGAGTATAAGGTTTACACAATCATTCTCATAATGTGACGTAAGCCAGCAAGGCCAAAAATGTTACAGAATATAATGGGATCTCTTCCTTGTAAACTTGTACAGTATGTGGTGACTTTTTTCAAAATACAGCTTTTTGTACATGGTTTAGAGACAAATTTTGTACATGAAACCCCAGTCCAATAGACTATATAAATAATTCTAAATGATCTTAACTAGTTAGAAATGTATGTAGTTGCTTTTAAATCATTTTAAATACATTTGTTTTCCAACTGTGCAAAGATTGGAAGTGGGTTTGCATTTCTAAAATGGTGACTTTTATTCAGCAAGAGTTCTTAGTAACTTGGAGTGTGGTAGACTTTGAAACATGTAAATTTTTTGCTTGTAATGTTATCCTGTGGTAGGGTTTTGGCAGATATATGCTGCCTATTTTATTCTAAGTTAAATGTTTTCTGAACAGAGCAATGTGCACTGAACTCTCCACTGCAAGACGAGATGTGGTAAAACAAAAAGAAAGATCAAGACAAATGAGATCTAATACTACTGTCAGTTTAATGTCCACTGTGTTTTATACAGTATCTTTTTTGTTCACTTTGGAAATTTTTACTAAAATTGCAAAAAATAAAGTATTGTGCAAAGATATGTAAGGTTTTTTGAAACTTGAAATGCATTAATAAATAGACTTGAGGAAATCCATTTTGAAGGTTCATTTGCTTTTTAAAATCTAAAAGCAAAATGGAGTATATAAACATTGCTGTCTTTTAATTTTCCTTTCACTACAATGAGCAAGTATAATTGTGCTATCAGTGCACCAGAAAGAGTTGTTGTCCACATCCCCTAGTTTGAGCTTCGCACAGTAAGTACAAAGACTATATGTTCATTTGTGCAAGGAAATATGTTGACTCTTTAGAAATGAAGGCCTAACTTTTTTTTCTGTGTTTATTATGATCAAAGTATTTTTAACTTATTCTCTGCTGTTATATTTAAAAATGAATCTAATTCCTGTCAAAGTGTTTAAGGTACAGACCTCTGTTGTCAATTTGGTGGTTATCCTGTGAAATTTTTGCTTTTCTAAAAAGTTATCTTACTTATTCTAACTAGCATAAAATTCATTTGAAGATGCTGCTAATGAATAAGGCTGCTAAAAGCATTATGCAAAACACCTTTCTACTGCATATAGTAAAATGTCTATCACATGGGTATGTCTTTCCATCTTTTTTGTTCACATTCTTGTATCTTAACTTCTTCATAACTGATACCATTTTAAAAGAAGAAAAGTCTTACCAACCACATCTTTCATTCAAAAGGTGGTGTTGTCTAAGCAATGCCTGCTCAGTCTTTTTGTTTTTTCCCCATAATTGAAAAATTTAGCTGAGGAACTCCTGAGTAAGCTTTTTGATAACAGCATGCTAGCAGACCCATCACCACAATTTTTGAAATCACTACTTCCCATGAAAATTAAATTGCATAGTAATGACAAAGAATGGTAAGATAGTGGGAATGCAGCATCTTTGGAGATCTACAACTTTTTTAGGTGCCTAAGTAATGATTTAAGTGTCTGAATATGCTCAGAAATTGAAAACTTTCATCAGCCCCTAAAAAAAAAAAATAAATAAATTGTTTAAATTGTTCTTGGAGATCTAAAAGTGTGGCTTTATTTTTTTTTAAACTAATATCTAACTCAGTATCCCTAAGATAGTTATTTAAATTCAGTTGTCTTCATGTTTTCCTTTAAAATACGCTGTTCATAAAATGGCTGTCTCTGTAGGAGAAATGTTCAACCAAACTTGTGTGACTCTCTCAAAGCAGGGCAGTTCCCTCCATGACTTGACATTTCTTTCTTGTCTATTAAAGCAACAAAGATACTACAAATCTATGGCTTAATCTCACTCTTCATTAGGGTACCAAACTTTCACAAAGCAGAGGAGCAAGTTCTGATTTTGAATATTGCTAGGAAAATAGTTTACAGGGTTGATAAAATGCACTTATCTTTTATATGTCTAAGGTATGCTTATTTGACACGTACAGAATTTTTTTTTGAACCAGTGGTTTTAATATTCGGAGTGAGATGATAGTAAACTCCAGCGAGCAAGAAGTGAAGCAGCACTAACAAGCATGTCATAATCACAGTTGCAGTGTTAAATGGAATTAAGATATCTTTATACCCAACACTCTAAAAGTATCTTCTTATAAACATCCCTGGGCGTTCTTATGCTTTTAATAGAAAATATTTGTAGTTAATACAAGCATTATACGTTGTACAAGAGAAGTTGGACTTTCAGATATGTGGCAACAAAATACCTTTTCAAGTTTTTGTTGGAAAGAATTGGACATCAGATTAAAGAGAGAATAAGTATGTTGCTTCATATTTGCATGTAGCAGTCTGTTAAAGCATCTAAATGCTGCTCTTCTTTTTTTTTGTTGGTTTTTGGTTTTTTTGCTTTTAGCTTTTAATGATTTTCTTAAATTGTCAACAAAGTTGTGTTCTAGACTAGTATCCAGGCTGAGTATAGTAGCTTCTTTATTGGTTGAATAAAAGGACTTTTTCCCCAGCCAATTAGGGAGTCACAAGATACGGTCCCTTAATGTTCAAGCTTCAAAAAACTTCTGTAGCATTGGCATTGTCTACCTGGTTCTCCAGTCATAATCACTGAGGTCAAAAGTTTCTACGGAGTTCTGTTTTCCCAAAGTTAGGTGCTCTGAATCTACATTTAGTCCCCATGTAAATATCCTCACTTTCAGAAACGATGAGCCCCTGCAGTTCCCTGAAAAGAAGACGTTCATGTATTTTAGGATTAAAGATATCTAACTCCAGAGAGTTTGTGTGTGCAAATTGAGGCCTGTGGTTTCAGGTATCTTGCATGATATAGACCCTATCACCTGTGTAACATCTGGTGACCCTTGTTCATTAGTAGCACTTTGTCCCTAGCCATAGTAGTTTTTGTCTGGGTGCCTTTTATCAAATCTATTAAAAAGCATGCCTGCAACTTCAGCCTTAGAAAGGAATCATAATTTGCTCAGCTTGCTTTGGTCTAGTGTACTCTGACAAAACATAAAACATTTTTCTGTCTTCAAGGAGGCTGTAAGGAAATTTTTAGTAAAAGGCGAAAGATTTATACGATCGCTCTGCATCATCAGCTCTCCCGTGAGTATTTGTTGTTACTCGGTGATTGCAGGACCTCTCTTAATCTAGTAGTACAGGCATTTACAGTGACATATTATTGTAAATTCTTGAGATTTCTCTATTGAAGTATATTGATATGTGGCTATTTGTTTGGTCTACTTACTCCATCCACCACAATGACTTGATGAAGTGGGGGAAAAAAGGAAATGAATATTTTCCTATAAATTATCATATCCTCGTCAAAGCTTCTTCAGAATTGGAGGTGGGTCATCTAATAAATTATTTGAGAACTGGAGTTGAACAGATTTTTCAAAGTATATTAACAGAAAGTTTCTACCAGACAGTCAGTTCACTAGGAAACCAGATAGACACAAGTATGAGTAGTACCTCTTTATTTCAAAACCAAATAGACAAACTTTGATTTACAGTAGGAAAAGTAAGTCATCACTTCTCTGGACAGTAATCTCGTCTTAAGTCTGTCTGGATGATGTAAAGTATCCTTCAATAAACTTCTTTCTGGTTTTCCTTTACTTAACTTGGACTACATTTGGAATATCTAGAGCCCTGCTCTGTGGAGGTGTAAAATCTTCTTTCAAGTGAAAAATCATATATCTTCACCCTTATTCTGATGTGAGATTCAGTACAAGACGGGGCAAAATTTGCAGAAGTGCACTAGCGCTTAGAAATCCAGGTAGCATTTTATGATAGTAGCTTAGTTCTTGCTTCAGAAACATTGAACCCAAAAGGTGGAGGGTCTGCTGATTTGAGAGTGGTGACCCTTTGGATTGTACTATCCCCAAATGTAATCCTGTTGTATTATATAATTTCCCCCAAATTTTCCCTTTTTTACAGAAAGTTTCAAAGGCTCCAACAAGGAAGAATCCAATTTAATATCCTTGTAGTGGTCAGTTGACACTGGTGATTTGGGTACTTAGCAGTAGAGTTGGCAGCTGAGCTTCCAATATACCCATATCTGTGTTCAGCCTTTTATTTCAAGTTTCTTTTCATCATGTTAGTCTAGCATGTTGCTTGATTTGACTTTTGAATATAGTCACTATAGTCCTTGGGGACTATAGTGCTCTAAATTTCTGTTTTTTCCCCTCTTACTGTAGAAAAGATTTGGCCCAACATAGCCTGTATCAGCCTGTAGAAAATGTGGGTGCTTCTGTAAAAATAATAGGCTAGTACAGAGAGTAAGGGCTCCCTAATCAGACTGAATTTGAATTTTATACTTAGATCCCTGTACACCAGTTCATTAGGATTAAGCAACAACACCAGGAGCTCATCACATCCTAATGCTTCCTCATTTATTGAGATCTGTTAATGCATAAAACTAACTCTTTAGTTTTCAATGCTTGGATGCTTATCTTGCTGGGGTGATCTGACCCCAGCAGACTTCCTGCCCCTTGGACAGGGGGCTAGACCTGATGATCTTGCAAGGTCCCTTCCAGCCCTAATGTCTATGAAATTTTTCTGCCACATATCCATATGTTTCTGGAGTTTGAATCTGGTTCTTTAAGCACTGATTATAAAGCCCTCTGAGCAAACTATAATTTTTCCCTAATCAGGGTCTTCTTTCTAACAGCCTTTTTTTGCCAGATTGCAACCCAAAATTGGAGGACCTTTAAGGGAGTTGAAACGAGGGGAAAAAAAACCCCAAAACAACAAAGGAAAAATTTAAACAAAAGAACAAATCTTTAGTGTGAATAAAAGTTATGAATAGCCAGCAAATTTTCTCTCTCATACTTTTAGGTGCTCAGTAGTTCCATGATTTCTAAGATACTCCTTTCTCGCATTTTTCAATAACTCAATTTTTCCTTGGTAGTAATTTCTGTCCACTTTTTTTACAATTCTCCATATTATTTTGCAGTGAGAGTGTGGGTTTTTTTTTCTATTTTGTGATCACCAAAAGCCATAAACTTTGTTCTCAGTACAAAGTATTCAGTAGGTGTTGGTCTAAGTTGGTGGGGGGGGGTTTCCGCTTGGAACCACAAAAATTTATTTCAGCTAATACGAAAGACAAGCCTATAATCAGTCATCCAACAATCAGGCTATAATCGCACAGTTAAGGACATTTATCCATAGTTATTGACTTATTTGAGAAGAAAAGAATTTGGTTTTTTTCTTCCTGAAATTGAACGTGAAAATTTGGGATTAACTTTTATGTTCAGGTTTGACTTTTAATCAGAACAATACAGTGTATAATTTAGTGCCTTAACGTTTTAAAACTAATAAAATTTAATAAATATCATACAATGGTAAAACATAAATTATAAATACTATAATTTTGGGGATGAACAAATGACAAATGAAAATCTTTATTTCTGGTAACTGTATGTAATAGCCTGAAAATAAAATTTCATCCAAAAATGTAGGGTGTTTTTCCTCTTATTTGCTAGTTTAAGATGGGGGCGGGGGGGAAGGGGAATGTACATGCCTGATCTTGAATTTTCCAAATGTAATGTTAGGTTGCTGTTGAATATTCTGCAACTTGCATTAATTTGTAAATCATGTTCGTTTATTTGTGCCATAATTTTAAAATAGTGTTAAGAGTTCACACTAACATGGTGAAAATAATTTAAATGCAAAAGTTCACTGAACTTGGCTGTGTAACAAGGACTATCAGCTGGAATCATGCTTAGCATGCTAAGCATTTCTTTAAAGCAAATTAGTTTAATTAAAATATTTAATCACTACATTGAACAGCAAAGCATTTTCCAATAGAATAAACTTTAGTGAAGCACATTATCAAAGGCACAATTATGTGGCTCATAATGCTAAGTTTTATACAGAGTATCTCAGTCATGAAGGATGTTCCTATCACCTTCATAACTCCTTAGGTCTTGAACTTTAGCAAGATAAAAGATCAATAGTTTTCTGTAAATGAACATAGTATTTATTCAATAGGATATTTGCTTTAAGTGGTTTAAACAGCAAGTTTATTATAAGTACATTAACTTGGCTTTAGCTGATATGCTTCAATACTCAGGTTTGGGACAAGTCACCTGTGAATTACTGCACCTAACAGCTAATTTGTGGCTTCCAAAACTATTTTCATTTTACAGTAATCAAATTGTTATTTTAGGTGGTTTCATTGGGAATCAGATTCATTTTAAGGCACTGTAATATAAAATCTAATATTTAAAAGACACTTCTATCAAGCATTCCTTGAAGTAACAATGTTTAGATGTCCTCTGAGCAGGTTTTCTTTCGAAGTTAAAAGCAATTTAGATCTCAGTACATAATGTTAACTAAGAAAATGTCCATTCATCTCTTTAGGAGTAGCTTTAAGGGCATATTTTTAGTTTGCTGTTACCATAAACATAAAATCTAAATTTGTTTCTTTCTTGTATCTGGATCTATGAGGGTACTTCAATTTTTGTTGAACTTATGTTTATACTTTTAATTGTGATTTTTAGTCAATAAGATTTAACTTATTCTTGATAGGCAGCTTTGATTCTCTTCCTCATCTGAATTTTCTCTTTAATCTTCGAGGACGATTCTCACATCTCACAAACGTTTTCTCTTGGGATGGATGGAGGTGTACATTGTCAATACTTTGGGAACAAAATGTCATTCTAAACAGAAAACACAATGAATAAGTATAAATATTCTGTTCCTTGTCACTCTTACTGTTCTCATTTCTGATGTATATTTTTAAGAAGATACATTAATTCTTAATTTCTTGCTGCTAGTGATAAATGTACATCTGGTAACATGGTGTTTGAAGCATGGGAGGTAGCACCTATGTAGCTAGGTTTTTTCTTGTATACAGTATCAATTCTTCATCTTATCTTTACTAGGAATTTTTTTCTAGCATTTCTAGCATTTTTTTCTAGCTATTACCTTTTTTCAGCTCCCCCTGTTGCTGCCATTAGTGGAATGCTAAAATACTCAAGGACTTGATGGCCACCAGGAGATTAAATAGCAGGTCATCTAAATCTGTTCTGAGTTAGCTAATGTAGTATATAAACCATCAGGAACTGGCTAGATTTTCTACACAAACATGTTCCCATTTGCTACCATGAGTGGTGCTGACACATTAATATCACTATCTGGATGTTTTAGCAAGAAGTACTTTAATACAGGCAAACCCATAAGATTTTCTAAGATGAGAGAATGAAGGTTCCAAGGTAGATGACAGCTTGGTCCTTCTTGTGGGCTCCTCTGCTCTTTTAAGAAGCAGTTTTGAGAGTATCTTCTGACATAAATCTCACTTTTTCCCCACACGGGGAAAATCCACTGCATGTGTCAGTCCCAGAAACAATGATCACAGTTGAAAAATGGTGTGAAAATATAGTAAACAGTATAAGTACTTGAGAAGGTCAAAGAGTAGTTGTGGTGCATGGTTTGTCTTTGTCAGCATTTCTAAAATTTAAAAATTCAGTTTACTGATGCTTGCTTCTTTGCAGTTTGATCTTGCCCAGATGGTTTTAGTAAATCATTAAAAAATCTACCCACTCTTTTTTCTTTTGAGGAAATATTTTCCTTGAGTATTCCTCATGCTTCCCACTTCACCGTTCCCTTGGCCCAGATGGTTTTAGTATTTCAGTAGCAGTGTTGTTCAAGTTCTCATCAGCCCCAGATTTCACAGAAAAAATCAACATTAGTCAGCACCTAGTAAAACTTTGGCATGAGTAGCCAGTGCTTCTTGTGGTGACAGACTTCCAAGGGACATTGGCTGTCTAGAATTACATTAAAAGTTTTAATGATTCTGCCACAGCCTCCAATATGATTTTAGCTCCTCCATAGGAATCCTTAGGCAGCTTAAAAGTAGGTCTTTGAACTGTGTTTGACTTCTCTTGAAGCATGTTATTGGTGCATGTTAACAGAATCAAGAACAGTAGCAAGATAAATGTTTCAATCAATGGGTCTCAAATTCCCAGTGCTTGTTACGCTCCAATTTGATCCTTCAATTTTCATACCAACATGCAATGTCATAAGTCCAGGATTAATACTTTATGGTAGGAGCAAGTGAGAGAGGCTGAGCCGTGAGGAGGAAAATATTTATAGAACATTTTCAGGAAGAAGTAAGAAAGCATAGAAGTGTTTTAGTCAAGTAAATGTTTGTATAATTTATTTTCTTCAAGTTGACAAACCTGGCAAATCTCTTAAGTCACAATTTAAACTGTCTTTCAAATTAGCACCAGGGAGCTGTTGCTTTCCAGACAGTTGCTGTGCCATGCAGAATCTGTAATCTGCCATCACTGACACTGGCGAGATCTATCCTCTGGGCAAGATCAGTGTTTAATTGCCCCTTCTTGTGTGCAGCCCTATAATGCCGAGCTACGGTTACTAGGTAGGACAAGCTTTTCTCATTTAACCTTAATTAAAAGACCTATTCTTAAAGAAGTGGCAGTCATTGCAAACATTGCTGTACAGTGTCCTGGCTGGAAATGTTCTTTCCGTTAAGAACAACCAATTTCACAAATACAAGCAGCAATGTTCTCCTATTGCTGTGCTTTGTATGTGAGGCATGATCTACAGTGCTTAGATCTCAATGGTCCTGTTCCAGAGTAGAGTGCAAAAAACCAAGAAACCTTACACTGCATTTGGAAGCTTTTACTCGGGAAAACTCAGTTCCTGTCAAACCCAGAGCTGATGCTCTTAAAAGTTCACCTGGCAAAACTCGTTACATCATTCACAGCATCAGCAAACTCTCAAAACAACTGGACCAGAGTGACTGCCAAATGTGAGGGGTGGTCAGTTTACATTGTGCTCTTCCTCTGGGGGCTTTCTGATACTTGCTTATGTATGTACTTAACTCACCACTACAACGGTGGGATCTGTTAACCCTCTGTTTAATTTTACAGGAGATGCTACATATATTCTTATACTACATACGTTATGGGAAGAACGCGTCAGCTACTTGAGGTTGGATGAGGGGGAGAAAAAAAAGTCAGTCCAAAAATATATATCAGTTCTATCATGAAAACAGACAACTTGAGTTCACTTAATACAATGAAAAAATCAGAGAGACTGCATAGGTCTGAAAGCTACTTTGCTGCTGTTGGCCTTTTGAGCATGATGTAAGGTGCAGTGGATTATCTCTGAAAGGAGTAATTGTTCTAACGCACTTAATAGTTTTGAGGAGAGGCGGGGAGGAGAGTTTTGAATCTGTTTGAATGTAGTATTTTCAGGATACACCTGTGCTGAAGCTGGCTTAATTACTCACAAAAAAAAAAAAAAAATTTCAACAACACCTACTTTTGCTGGGTTTCTCCTGCTTTGACTCGTATTGTTTTCACTATAAGACCTGGTCGATAGATGCCCTTGCTCCAGGGAATGATAGTTTGAACTCTGTCCCAGAGATTTTCCCAAACCGCAGTTCCTTCCCATTTGAATTTGATCATCATTAGTTCACCAATATCAATATCCAGAGTGATGAGAAAAGAGTAGGTTTTGTTTCCAGTAATGCCTTCAACACTGCAAAAAGACAAAACCACCAAAGATGATCTTGAACCTGAAAATATGTTTTGTAGGAATTCAAATTTCTGTATTGTTGGGGGGAGGGGGAGTGTTAATTTGTTTTTCTTGTGAACAATTGGCACAGAAGAAGCTAATGTCTAAACAGCCCTTGGAGAGAACTTTTTCTTCCTGCTGCAGGTTTTTGCAAGATAGTCTTGCAAGATTAGATGGCACAGTTGCATTTACTGTTAAAATTGATGTGTAACCTTGCCACCTATATTTTTTAACTACTATAATTTATTATTTGTATTCTTGCAATGCCTGTGAACCTATCTCATGCTGGTGTGCTAGGTGCTGTACCAGTCCAGGACAAGAAGATAATCCCCGTCTCAAGAGACCTTGCTTTGATTAATGCAATTAATGACTGAGAGCTCCTTTTCTCTCCCTGGCCTTGAAGGAGTATTGATTGCTTTCTCCATGCTACCACTTTCACGAATAGTGAGGGATGAGGACTGAGCAACCAGAAAACTGAAGCACCAGGACTGAAATAAGTCTGTTCTTGGGGTATGTCTGTGCGTCATATAAGGTGGTAAGCTGATTATGGTGTGGCTGATAGCCCCGGGATCGGAAGCAGTGAAAGAGCATTAGTGTAAGTTCACTGCTTCGGACAGGAAGACATCATTTTATGGGAGTGAAAAACTATATGACACCAGTTTTCACCCCCATAAAACAGGGTATCTCATACTTACAGTGTGATGGGCAAGTTTTCAACATCCTCCTTAGTGCCTATCAAGGAGACGGTGAAAGTTGGTTCTACCTGCTTCTCTTGAATTTCGTTTATGAAATGGATCTTGAATTGATAATGATAAACTGCATAGAGAAAGAAATCACAAGGTGAGAAATCACAGGGTCATAAAGGCATCATGTTTGTGTAATGGCATTTGCATTTCAAAGCAGTAATTTGAGAATACTTCTCTTTGTGTTTATTCAATACATTAGTTATTTTTAAAACATCAGCTTCCTGCTGTTGCCAAACAATATCAGTCCCCAGCTGCTTTCTTTAAGGGAAAAGATACTGGATGCTCTTTGTAGAGCAAAAGGCTTTTCTGTGGGGAAATATTTCAGACCTTATAAGGTGTAACACTGATTTTTTTTTTTTTTATTTTACATGCGTGTCTGCAGAGATCCCTGGTCTGATTGTGCTGGATTTTGTGTGGACAGTCCTTTCACGGGCTGCAAATGGTAGTGGGAGTAGTGACAGAGATTGAAGGCTCCGTTCTGCATGCCAGCCTTCCTTGCTATGATCTGTTAAAAAATCTCTCGGAAAACAGATGACTCATGAACTGTTCTTGATGGCATAATGATACATTGTGCTTAACATGCATCTGTTAACAATATGACTTTGTTCAACACTTCACAATAAGAAATATGTCATTACTGCTTTGAGGTTTGGTGGTTTCTGGGAGAAGGGAGTTTAGGAAAGTCTTTGAACTGAAAAATTGACGTTCTTGTGAAGAAGAATGTCAGAGAACTTCAGTATATTATGGCATGTTCTTGTGTGGCAAATCCTAGCAAACTGTGGGTCTGACAGTGTGCGCTCAAAGACTGCCATACAGATTTGAATGTCCAACTTTGTCCATTCTCATTCTGTCTGGTCAGCTTGTAAGAAGCAAATGGTGGGGCTGCAGCATTTTAATGTACTGTGGAAAAGACATTGTCATAGATGACAGCATTCATACAGTGCCTTTTGCCTGAGGATTTCCAAGCAAGATGGCTCACTGTCTCCCCACTGTCCACCCAAACAATTATTTTAAAAATAATTTGTCACTAGTTGACACTATATATTCCACCACATGTATCCTAGTTCACCTGATATGCTAATAACTGTAAGATTAAAGCCAGGCCTGCACTGATCTTGGAGATCTGGAAAGGAAATTTGTGTTACTCGCATTATAATAATTCTCAAACATCTGAATCCTAGGATTGGAAGGGATCTCTGAGCTCATCTAGTTCAACTCTTTGCAGAGAAGCAGGGCTTCCAGTTCGTAAACCATCCCAAAAGGGCCAGGAAAACTTTTAACAAGAATTAGAGGTTTATCCTGGTCACCTGGTCAAATTATGGAGCAGCTAGCCAGAATGACTCAATAGTGTTGATGTGGAAAGATATTTACTCCCCCTTTAAAACTGATGTATAATTTTTTATTTTTTATTTATTTTTTTGCTCAGAACGGCTCCAGTACAGTGGTAGGGGACTAACCCTTTTGCACATACTTTCTGCATAAACCTTCGATCTTTCATGACTAACCCTTTTATACATACTTTCTGCATAAACCTTCGATCTTTCAGGGTAGAAGGCATTGTTAAATGTTATCTTCTTACAACTACTATATTTTTACTTGACCTGGATCGGCATTGATTTCAGGATATATTGCCATTACATTGAAGAATAAAATGTCAAGATCAATACAGGAACAGGGTTAGAAAACATAACTTTAAGCCTTTCCTCCCCTCTTCGACATCCCACCCCCGGTTTGGGTTTCACCCATGACCTCTGTTGCATTCTTGGAAAATGTTTTAACATCACTTGATACACATTCATACATAGTTATTGGACTGTTTTTCAGCTTTATGAAAGAAAATGTTTGTTTAGAGCAATGACCTTTTAGTAAATTTCTGTGATCCTTTTTTCTGAAGTGTAGCTTGTCTTTAAAATAAATCAATAAATAAATGCAGTTCAATGAAAACAGCAGAGTTCAGGCTTGTGGCAAAAAAAGTCTTCCATTCTTAACCATTTCTACATATAAATCAAGCCATTGCTAGGGATGTACAAGCCCTAGAGGGTGCCCCTGGCTTGGTGCAAAGCATCAACACTCAAAGTGGCTTTATTAGATTCAGTGTATTAATTTAAAGACGGGCTGAGAGGCAGTCGTTTCTCTGCCTGCCTCAGGTGAGACTCAGCCTTTCCAAAGCTGCCACTTGAGGTGGTGTGACCTTGCTAGAGTCTCTTACATTCAAGTAAGGCTGAAGCATGGAGCAAGGGGGCTTCCTGCAATTACTTCCCAAAGCCAAATGGTGGGTGGCAGCACAGAAGGTGAGATGCTGCTTTGCTCTGTGCCTCCTACTTCAGGGCAATTTGGGCCTGGCTAATGGCTGGAAAGGGAGGTGACAACTGCCCTGGTGACTTGGGCAGTGTGCGTGCGCGCGCAGAGGGAGGTAGGGGAAATACAAGGCCTCCCTGACAATCCCACCCCGTTTCAGGCTTTGCCCTTGTCAGGAAGCTCCGGTGGCTGCCAGGGACACGCCTGTAGCCTGTCTGGCTCTGAGGATCGTCGGGAGTCTCTCTTACACATGCCCTGCCCGTGGTCCAGCCAAGCAGTGCAGTCTGCAGGGACCTGGCCACGATGACCCTCGTTGCAGCTAGTACACAATTAGGGCTGTTGTAGGGCAGCCAGGCCTGAGCGCTCTCCCTGTCTGTCAGACCTGTCCCCCAAGGGCCAACTGGTACGATGTGCTAGGTGGAAGCCTCGTGGAACTGGAACATGGAGCTGCTATGCTGCACTTCTGCTGATGGTGATTTAAGGATGATAATGCCAGAGCACCAGGAGTTTTATTTTAGCGTGGCAGTTCTACCCTATGACACCCCACGCTATGCAGCTGTCTTGTCTTCTGTTTAAAAAGTAATAATTTGTGTCTGGCTGCAGACTAATTACAGACAAAATTTGGGCCTAGTTGGATTGGAAGGCCTTGCAGGTCTCCCTGAGCAATTAGGCTTTTTTTTTTTGGCTTGGCTGGGTGCCTGTATATGTTATAGTTAATTCAAACGGAGCAACTGATATAAGAAAATCCTGTAGATCAGAACCTGGGCAGCTTCAAGGGCAGGAGTCCACAGTTAGCATTTGGTAAGCCTGCAACATGCTATATCCCATAAAAGTATTAAGTGAAGATATACTCTTGAAAGGGCAGTGGGAAAATTGATTCACAAATCTTTCATCAATTTGACTATTCCTATTGATTTGATTTGTTTTGGCCAAGGAAGCGGTAGGCACCATCTTATCAAGTTGGATTCTGTAGTAAGTGCTAACAAACCTTTGAAAGGCATATTTGCTCGTGTTTTCAAAAACAGTCTTCTGCTTTTCTGGAGTCTCTCCTTTCTGATATGGTAGCCCAGAGTATTGCACCGGTTCTTTCTACAACTGAGGCACATTCCTTTGTCAAACTTATGGATGTCGTTGCACCAGTAGGCCATGCTTTGTTTATCATCGTGCAGCAGAGAATCAATGAACAGATGAACCGACCTCTCATGAGCACATTTCACAGTTTGAGTGATCCCTGAAAAAAATGTAATAACAACCATTTTGCATGTCCTTGCCTTTACTTTGTATATGAACTACAAAGGAGTACAGCAAACAGTCATGTGTTATAGATCCTTTCCAGCCCTCTTTACTGCTAAATCCCATTATGTAGATTATCCCAAAAGATGTATATATGGGATCTATAACACTGTCCAAATTGACTGCTTGAGCTACCAAATTTATCAGAAACTTGTATGTAAAAAAGGAGCAGATTGTGCCAAACCTCATCTTCAGTAAAATGATGCATTCTGTAAGTACTAGATTGCAATACTGCATCTTGAGCTGACTGTTCAGGTCAATATGAACTATAGCATTTGGGTATATGTAGCCTTTTCAGATTGTACTTCTGTATTAAAGATGACAACAACCTCAGGCCATTGTAGAACACTGTGCTGCCTTTTGGCTGCTTTTGTTGTACCTGTCAGCGTGCACATTTGAGTGATAAGCTCTGTTGATGAATTGGGCTTGCAGCTACTAGAGTAGAACAGGAACAAAATAAATGCATTGTTACACTCGGTAAATATTTGAGAAATAAGCATGGCAATAAAACACTTATTTCTCCTACCTCTATCAGTATCCTACAAATTAAAAAGTCCTTATTAAAAGACTCTTCCTTCGACATTATATTTTCTTTCCCCTTGTGAGTCGTCTCTCCCCCTTCTATCGTTAATGTGTACCAAGGTAAACTGTAGAAACATGACTTCAGAGTCTGCACAGGTTCCCAATTGCTTTCTGGGGGAAATTCAAGGTGGTGGTTTTAACCTATAAAGCCCTAAATGGGCCCTATGTACCTAAGGGACCACTTCCTGCTGGTACCACCAGAGCATCAAGTCAAAAATGTGTCAGAGGTCATTCTCCACAGTTGCTCCTCAGTTCTGGAGAACACGTTCAGAACCTGAGCCTGGACATCTTTTGGATGCACTGCATGACCTTCCTATCTGGGCAGGCATTTGTCAAACAAAACTAGGATGGGATGTTGTTTAGGGTGTATCTGTTTTATCCTGATATTCTAGTTCACTTTTAAGTTGTTTAGGTCCTCTTTTTGCTCTCCTTTTTTTTCCGTTGTTCTGTTTTCTGCCCTGAGCCTTTGTTGGGAAGGGTAGCATACACATGAAAGAAATAAATATTCACTGATAAGCTTCCTAGTCCATGCCTGGCCTCATTAGTCATGAATTATCAACTAACAAGTAAGGCTCAATTCTTGGTAGTGAAAGAAGAAATGAGAAATGTTTTGGCAAATTAGTATTCTGGGCATGAACAACGTGTGCCCCCAGCGGCTGGGAGTGCACAGCAGTGGCAGAAGCACAGCAGCAGTAAGTGGGGAGCTCCTGCAGACGCCACTGGTGCTGTCAGTGCGGGGGGGTGAGCGCCAACTGGGGGCGTCACCGAACACCTGCAGGTGCCACTGGCAGCGTCAGCAGTGGCCAGCAGCAATCGCTGACCGCCCACAGATGCTGCCAGCGGTGTCAGGGGGAGGGGTGGGAGGTGTGACAAGTGGCAGCTACCCACAGGCCTTTTCATAGGGGGTGCACTGCCATACGGGGTGCACGTGCACCCCCTGTGTGTCACCAGTGATGCTGGGCACACAATGCCCTCTGCAGGTGTTTCAGCTAACACCTTGGATTGTCTGCATTGGTGCCTTATCTTGCATGCACTAAGACAAAGCTTCTGTATATAAAACTTAGATTGTAACAAATCTAATTGGCAATCATAGAAAATGAGGGTTGGAAGGGACCTCAGGAGGTCATCTAGTCTAACCTCCTGCTCAAAGCAGGACCATCCCCAACTAGATCGTCCCACCCAGGGCTTTGTCGAGCTGGACCTTAAAAACCTCCAAAAACGGAGGTTCCACCACCTCTGTAGGTAGTCTGTTCCAGCGCTTTACCACCCTCCTACTGAGTTTTTCCTAATATCCAATTTAAACCTCCCTTGCTGCAACTTGAGACCATTGTTCCTTGTTCGTTGTTCCTTGTACCCTAACTGCCACCACTGAGAACAGTCTAGCTCCATCCTCTATCGAACCCCCCCCCCCCCCCCCTTTTTTCAGGTAGTTGAAGGCTACTATCAAAACCCCTCTGTCTTCTCTTCTGTAGACTAAGTAAACCTAGTTCCCTTAGTCTCCCCTTAGAAGTCATGTGCCACCGCCCCCGAACCATTTTCATTGCTCTCCACTGGACTCTCTCCATCTTGTCCACGTCCTTTCTGTAGTGGGGGGCCCAAAACTAGACCCAGTTATCCAGATGTGGCCTCACCAGTGTAGAATAGAGCGGATGCAGCCCAGCATCCTGTTAGCTTTCTTGGCAACAAGGGCACACTGCTGATTTGTATCCATCTCACTGTCCACTGTAACCCCCAGGTTCTTCTATTCAGAGCTGCTGTTTAGCTAATTAGTCCCCAGCTATATTGGTTCATGGGATTCTTTGGTCCTAAGTGCAGGACTTTGTACTTGTCCTTGTTGAACCTCATGAGATTTCTTTTGGCCCAATCCTCTAATTTTTCTAGGTCACTCTGAATCCTAGCCCTATCCTCCAGTTTATCTACTACATCCCTTAGCTTGGTATCATTTGTGAACTTGGTGGGGGTGCAATCCATCCCATCTTCCAGATGGTTAATGAAGATATTGAACAAAACTGGCCCCAGGACACACCCTGGAGCACTCCACTTGATACCAGCTGCTAGCTAGACATCAAGCCATGGATTACTACCCTTTGAGCCTGACAATTCAGCCAGCTTTCTATCCACCTTACAGTCCATTCATCCAACCCATGGTTCCTCAGCTTGCTTGCGAGAATGTTGTGGGAGATGGTAACAAAAGCCTTTCTAAATTCAAGGTATATTATGTCCACTGCTTTCCCCACATCCACAGTTACCTCATCAAAGAAGGCAATCAGGTTGGTCAGGTGTAACTTGTCCTTGGTGAATTCATGCTGACTGTTCCTAAACACCACCTCTTCCAAATGCTTAGAAATAGATTCCTTGAGGACCTGCTTCATGACTTTTTCCAGAGACTGAGGTGAGACTGACTGGTCTGTAGTTCCCTGGATCCTCCTCCTTCCCTTTGTTAAAGATGGGCACTATATTTACCCTTTTTCAATCATCCAGGACCTCCCCCAATCACCATGAGTCTTCAAAGATAATGGCCAGGTGCTCTGCAAGCACATCGGCCAACTCCCTCAGCACCCTCAGATGCATTGCATCCCGCTCCATGGACTTGTACACGTTCAGCTTTTCTAAACAGTCCCTAACCTGTTCTTTCACCACTGTTGGCTGCTCACTTCCTCCTCAAACTGTGTTGCCAGGTGCAGTAGTCTGGGAGCTGACCTTGCCTGTGAAGACCGAGGTAGAAAAGGCATAGACTACTTTTGCCTTTTCTTCATCATCTGTCGCTAGGTTGCCACACCCTGACCTTCCTCTTGTTGCTAACAATACTTGCAGAAACCCTTCTTGTTACCCTTCATGTCCCTTGCTAGCTGCAACTCCAAGTACACTTCGGTCTTTCTGACTTTATCCCTGCATGCCCAAGCAATATTCTTGTACTCCTCCCAAGTTGTTTGTCCAAGCTTCCACTTCTTGTAAGCCTCCTTTTTGTGTTTCAGCTCACTAAAGAGTTCTCTGCTAAGCCAAGCTGGACGCTTGCCACATTTGCTATTCTTCCTGCACATTAGGATAGTTTGTTCCTGAGCCCTCAGTAAGGTTTCTTTAAAATACAATCAGCTTTCCTGGACATCTTTCTCCCTCAGACTGGCCTCCCACGGGGTCCTGCCCATCAGTTCCCTAAGGGAGTCAGTCTGTTTTTCTAAAGTCCAGGGTCCATACTCTGCTGCTCTCCTTTTTTCATTTTGTCAGGATCCTGAACTCAGTCATCTTGTGGTCGCTGCTGCCCAACTTGCCATCCACTTCTACATCGCCCACCAATTCTTCCCTGTTTGTGAGCAGCAGGTAAAGAAGAGCATGAGATCCTACAGAGAGATCTGCCTACTTTGTGGGGTAGCAACTGAGGGACAAAGGAGTAAAGATGAATTGAGGAGGTAAACAGTAAAGCATTGTATTATATAAACTCTCCCATTCCCTGAACAGTTGAAACATGCCATAGGATTCATTCCAAGATACTTAGTAGTAATGCTGTTGGCCTGACTTCCAGAGGTGCTGGGTACATCTCTCTCACTGAAATCGGTGGGTAATGTGGATGTTCAGTACAATTGAAAAACACGTTATCTGTTTCTAGCCAAGAAACTCTTTTCCAGAGCTGCATATACTTGGTATGATACTTTAGTCTACTTAATTGCATAGAGTCATCTTAAGTTTCTCAGAGATGCTGTTAATCAAGCTGCAGTGCTTTGTTGCTTTTTGTCACAGCACTCCTTACCAGTGATTCCATACTGGGCAATGTGATTGTACACATGCATGATGTGGCAGCCAGGTTGAAAGGTGCCTCCATTGGGGTAAAAGTCAAAATGGGCCACCGGCTGCTCGATCCCAACGCTGAGACCCATGTGCTGTTTAGTAAATGTATGGATTGCATCTACAAAGTTTGCATCATCTGGAGATAAACGATCTGTTGGTGACATCCCTTCAAACAAAGGACCAGCAGGGTCAAGGCCTAGAATAAATTCAAATCACTGGTGTGAGATACAGTAGATGGATTTATTGTACTTCATTCATGAACAGTGATACCATTTAAGCTTGAGAAAAGCTCACTCAAGGACCCACCAATTCTTATAGTACTGTCTTTTCTTGATGGAAATAAGATTAGGTATAATAGTCAACTAATATTAGCACGCAACTGGAGCTCCAAGGCTGAAAGCAAACAGATATTGTAACAAACTGTAACTACTATAAGCCCAAGGACACTGGCCTGGAGAGATAGAAGTGTTTGTTGTAGACAAGCTGCATTCACTAGGGCTCTGTCTGCTTGAATGGTGTTTACTTAATTTTTGTTTTTGCATACTCTTAATAGTCACATGTTTCAGAGACCCTTCTGAACATGGGAGCCCCAACCCAGGCTTGACTTTTACCCCATATAAAGGACCTGAAACTTCCTAAAACTTGCTTTGTTTAATGAAGGACAGAGTTTTCTGCGTGCTCAGGTTTGTTCATTTGTAATGATTCTCTGATGCTAAATGACTCTGCTTCAAAGCAAATAGTTATCCCATTCTGGAAAAGAAGTAATCTTTGGCCTTTTTTTAGATTTAATTTAGTAGAAGCTTTTGTAGTGTGCCTACCATCTTAATTTTTGAGGGCTGTTCAGAGAATTAATTTATGAAAATGAAATGAGCCAGATGTGCGTGTGCGTGCCGAGAGCAGGGGTTGGCAACCTTTTTTCTACTGTGGGTTGCTGCTTATGACCTGGCTCTGCACTCTGGCCATCAGCAGATGTTGCGAGGGGATTAAATAGAAAACGGCAGGCATTAGGATCCTGGGAATGCTGTCTCTGCTGCTGTGGCTGGCGTGTGCTGCTGATTCCTTGAGCTGCCACAGGCCAGAGCCAGTCTTTTCATAGGCCAAATCCAGCCTGTGGGCCGAAAGTTGCCAATTCCTGGTCTAGACAGCTAGGTGTGCTGGGCTGGGTTCTGTGCTCGGGTTCTTCCAGCAATCCCACCGTCTAATGGATTACTTAAATATAATGCACCCAAACCTAGAACACGTTAAAAGTAGAGAACATAAAGCTAGCCTAAGAGTGTTGGCGGTGTTGTTTTGGATGTTATTATTCAGTATTCAGTTGAGTTCATTTTTGCAAGGTTGTATTGGATTTGCTGAAGAATATCTGTAAGTATGATTAAAAATAACACATTTTACTTGTTCATTACTGTGGCTTACCACACTAAAAAGGCCTGAACAAATAGAAGAGGGGCTCAGATTCCAGGCCATACGTGCAGGTGTGCACAACGCTGTCGTGTAAAATCAACTACTTTGTGTGCAGGTGCCAGCACAAGACCTGACTGCATAAGACATATTGCAGTGTATGGCAATGAGTCCAAACTCAGAACTGGGCCTCTAGATTACAGTTATATCTGTTTTGCTCCCAGATCAGACTTAAGTCAAATGTGTTCTTGTAAAATGTAAACACTGTAGTTTGGGGATGCTCAACCTCTGCGCCCCGGGCCAGATTCAGCTGACAGAGCCATGTAATCTAGTCCACGGATCTCCCCATGGGTCTGAAAATGTATTGGTGCGGGAACAGTTATAATTAACTCTGTTACCACACTCCTACTGTCAAATTTCCAAGCCTGGCCAGCCCCATGCAGAAGGATCAGGCCCCGTTACTGCTCAGCTGTATCAAGCCAGGGCCTGATGCAGCCAGGTGGAAAGGGCCTGGGTGGAGCCTGATGCAACTGCATGGAAACAGCACCAGCTGGGGCCCAAGCTGACACTACGCAAGATCAGGCCCCAGGAGGATAGTTCCCGTTCAGCTGCGTCAGTCCTGGATGGGCCATTCCTACATGGCTCGATTGGTCCCTGGGTGGGCCAGCACTTCATGCTGTATCCAGTCTGAGGATGAAGCTGGCATTGCTCATCGAGCCCATGGGCTGAAAAATTGGGGTACCACTGCTGTAGGCAATAGGAATTGCATGTAAGAGTCCGTTCTGTCTTTTAAAATGTTGTTGCTCATTATACTTGGGGGGGGGGGGGTGTGCACACGCAGACACACCTCATCGATACATTTGCATTATGCACATACTCATAATTAGCATAATTTCAAAGCATTATGGCAGGCCCAAAATGCCACCAGTCAGCACAACTAAGTGTAACGGTTAACTTTTATGTTTACGCTAAGCATCTATTAGGGATACTCTAATGATATGCTGCTTGTATAATATAATCCAAGACTATAATTTGTCACAAGGGAATTGATTTCAAATTACTGTAAAGAGCAATGTGCCACAATTTGAAAGCACAAGCACACTAGACAATCTCCTTAATGTAATTTTCTCCTTAAAATGAGTCACTAATGTTGAAGTTGGAGATGAGTGGGTGTGGGCCAAATAAGTGACCAGGTAAGGTTCCAAGTGAGTGGGTAACGTTTAATTTAGTACCTTGTCAAGAGTGGATAAAAAGATGAAAACACAATTTACAAATTAACTGGGAGTATAGCATCCAGTTGTACTATGTCCTTAATTTAGTCCATTAAAATGGAGTTAAATGAGAAGACATTGTGAGCAGTTTCCCGTGTTGTTGAAAACCCCTGGCCAGACTACTATTCCGAAATGCAAGATTGAACCACCCTTGAGTGAAATCTTTTTGGTTGAAGACTTCTTATCCCTGTGCTGTGCACCTGTGCACTTCCTAGTTTGGTTTGAGACTAGAAGTTCATTTACAGTAACATTAAAACAGAAGAAAGGCCCTTTTTCCTGTATTTTGACCCCAGTTCAGAATTGAGAAAAAGTAAACATTAGAAGATGCTCTGCTAAGATTTTTCAGCCCAGTTTCCACAAGTAGTGAGAAGAATTTCCAAAATGAACCTTGTTTCTATTGGAGCATAACAAAAGAACACAGACTTCTTCCAGAAGGAAAATAATTTCTCTTATCAACTCAAGGTATTAGGAGGATTTGCTGGATTCTTCTTTGATGCAAATAGACTCTATATAGCTTTTCTGGTAGAGCCCAATTTTGCACCACTGAAATCAATGGGAGTTTTGCCAGAGATTTCATTTGGAGCAGAATCAAAGCTCTAATTACCACTGCACTGCAGAAAATGAGTAACTCGAATAAATTGTGCATCAGAAAAGGAGAGAAGCAGTCAAAGTGCAGTTATCTCTGAATGAGACTACCTTGCAGTTCTAACGTAACAGTAGTTATGTTATTTTTGAGGTCTTTGCATCGGTACTGGGCAGCCCAGAAAAAATACGGTTGGCACAGCTAAAGGGAAGTGTTTTAAAATTGTGTATAGTGTCTTTAAATATCAACTTTTCAACAGACTGCTGAAACTACTGCTTTTCCACATTGGTACTCAATGCTGGGGACCTACTTGATTCACGGTTTGGTAGATTTCGTAGCAAGAGTGATATCCAGGATTGTCCAATAAAAATCAGCAACACCACCACCAAAAACTTAATACAAATCAAATGCAGTCCCTGCTGCTGGGAGGGGAAAGCACTGGCTGGTGAGGTGGCACAAAAGGCAGCAGGCAAGATGGTGGCGGCCCCCTTGTCCCTCCTCCACCTGGCTGGGACTCTCTGCCAATCACTGCTGAGAGGATGGGCCATACGAAGGGCAGCTAGCAATCAAGATGGCGGGTGCCCTTTCATCCTTCCCCTGGCCTTGCTGGCTCCCGCAGTGGCCTCGGGGCTTCGGTGGGTTCATGCAGAGCCCCCCACGCAGTGGGGGGCAGTGAGTGGTTTTTTTTTGTTTTGTTTTTTTTCCCCAAGGTGTCGGGTGCTGGGGTGGGCCGGGCAGCCATTGCCGGGGCTGGGAGAGGGTGGGGGATGGGCCCGTGTGATTCAGCCAAATTGAATTGGGACAGTGATTCGAATAGCCGAATTGAATCACTGTCCCCCGAATCGACCAAACCCGAAGCGAATACTAGCTGCTTGGCACAGGCCTAGTAAATAACCCTGTGATTCGGGTAGAGTCCTAGGTTTTGCTATAGAGAAAGAATCAAGTGGCAAACTAAAAAAAAAATACATTTCCACACAACTGTCTTAGCACAGAATTGTATCCAGCAGGGAGTGTCCCATGTGTTGGTGCATATTGACACGGTGAGGAAAGACATACCTGTGGATTCTGCTACTTGCTGACCAGGTGGGTTGCTTGGGCACTTCCTTGTGAATGAAGTGGGAAGGTTTTTTTGAGGATAGAAAATCTGTGTTAAGACTAGTGAGGCCAGTGATAGAAAACAGCAATCAATCACACCTGGAGTGAAGGTGTGAACTTTGTTATCTCTACTACTTTCCTTGAAAAATGACAAGCCCCAGATTGAATGCTTGTTTGGACCCTGGTCTGGATGCGTGGGGAGCATCTGCACAGCAATGACTTGCCAGGGCTGTATCTAGCGGCATGGAACTTGATTATTTGGCAGGAAGGAGGGGTGGCAGTATTAATTTCCACTACTCCCCTGCTACCAATTTTCCTCACCCATGTGGATTCCTGAGGGCCAGATGCCATGGCTCCACAGGCCAGGTGAGCACCCTGGTTGAGACCATCTTTTTAGACTTCGCTTTTGATCAGAATGAGGAAGGCCTGCTAGTCACAAGATCTAAAAATCCAAAGAATTTTTCTCTAGAGAAGCCCTTTAGCACCTGGAGTGGATGTCTTGCAAAGTACAACCTATGCGAGGTTAGAAGTATAGGCTGTATATATTGCTCCTCAGTTGGGTCTGAAGAAAAACTGTGGATCAAAAAACCTTTTGGCACCTGGCCTTTTCCTACTTCAGCACATTCATCGTACATGACAGACCTCCCTTTCAAGGCATGAATGTCTGAATGGTTTGATTATTGAAATATGGCCATAGCCCTGTTTAAGTACTGTATGAATATTCTATAGTATGCACAGAACATTTTAGAGTTGCAGATACCAAAAGTGAGCTAATATACATACTACACAAATGTGTAAATATATATATATATATGCATGCAAAATGTATACATATATTCCTTTGAGTTTAATGGAACTACTTGAATGTGTCAAGTTGTCTGTGTACATGACAATTTCCAGGTTCTGGACCTTAGTGAGTATTTCAACATTTAGACTCAATAAAATTGAAGAAGAACACTAATACACAATATGCCGAGCACTATGTACTTAGAGAGTATTGAGAAGAAATATGCAAATTACATTAAAACCACTGTCAGCAAATATATTTAGAACTTCAGTGTAACTATCATTATTGTTATGGACTGAAACAATCATTAAAAATAAGATTGAACATCTTTAATTATAGTTTTAAGGCAAGTTGTAACATAAGGCTGTCAGATACTGCTATATTTGAACAAAGAATCCAGTTGACTGTATGTTTTTATTGAAGCTATAAATATTTTTTACCTGTAATTCTTCCAATCTTGTTTGTGCCACTAATATAGCTGCCAGCAAACCCTGATACATGAGCTCCTAGGCTGTAGCCAATTAGATGAACATCACTTCTGGAAAATTGAATGGAATCCTAGAAGACAGCAGCATTGTGATTTAGGTACACAAAAAAGGAAAAATAAAATGGTGAAACATCTGAACATATATTGTAGGCTAGGAATTGCCATGAGTTGCAACTCACACCAATTTGCTTCTGGATGCCAGAAGTCAAATGAGGTACTTGAGTCGTACACAACATGAATTTGCTGATACTAACTTCATTTCTAGCAGACACGTTCCCATCAGAAAACTGCCATGCCATTGATCGCTGCTACCTAGGTATTCTGTTTAGGGAAATACCAGGGGTTTTGTTGATCTTTATTACAAGTGATGCAGATGCTGTACTCTGCATCTGCAGTATTCAGTTTTCCAATTGCTGAAACCTACATATTATTTACAAATCCAGAGCAAAACAGTCCTTTTAAATAAAAATGTTGTCTGACCTCTTGCTAAGAAACAGATGTGTTGCAAAGTATTGCTACACTCATCAGAACTGGAATGTGATACAGTAATGACAGACCTTGGATTCATTTGCACAACAGGATTTCTGGTATAAAACAAATGTATTGAAGCAGAATTGGCCTCAGGCCTTTCATTGTAACTAATCAATGCTGCATACTACTTAACTTGCTCACTTAAGCTGTCAACTTAAGATCTTCACACAAAAAAAATGGAAGTTGTATGTCCTTTGTTGGCACACCAACAAAGAGCCAAACCTCTCTTTCTAACTTAAATTTTAACTTTGTCTGCCAGCTTAAGTTATTCTGTTCCAATATTAATTACTTCTCTTTTGTGTCAATCAGAAGGAAATGGTAAGCTTTTGTGAGGAAAAAATGATTCTTAGAAATTGTTTGGACAACCTAAAACTAACAACTTCCTTGACACATGCTCTTGAGCCTGAGATGATGCCCCATAGCTCTCAGATTGTGAGCCCCGTGGCTTGATTTCTTATTTATTTTCTGTTAATTTTTTTTCAGTTTTGCAATATTTGATACCAGGGGTGACTGGTGCCTTCTGAGTCTGGGGGGGGGAGGTCCCCCAGTGGCAGTGGTACCCCAGCAGCCAGCTGGTGACCGGTGGTGGGGGTCCTTGCACTTCCACATGCGGCATGCCGAGATGTGCTGCTGACGGAGCCAATTTCAGGGGGGGCACAGGCCCTCAGTGGCCCCCCATGCATCACCTATGTTTGATACTTCATTGTGTATACAGAGGTGATTGCGTAATAGCTCAAAATGAAATCTTATTCTTGTAGATTGTGTGAGGTGAGGGTGTGGGTAGGTGGGTATGGGGTTTGTGAGGGGCTGTGGGGATATGTGTAGTTTGGGGTATGGGGGAATGAATGGGGGCATGTGTGGATGTCAGGGGTGGGTGGGTATGGGCATGTGGTGGTGGCGAAGAAGTGTGGGGGGTGGAGGTGGGTAGGGAGATATGTGGTGGGTATGGGGAAGGGTGTGCAAAATGGGCCATATTTGATTCAGATTCAGCCCGAGGGACAGCGATTCGATTAATTGTTTGGATCACTGTCCCAATTCAATCTGGCCGAATCTGAAGTTTCAATGCTGATTCAGAGAATCAGCGATTCAGCCATACACACAGCTTTAAATGTGTTTTCTACATACCTCGAGGTACCAGGCATAGCTCGTGAACACTGCGATGGTCGGATGGATGGTGCGTCCCACAGGAGTGCGAGGAGGGGGGTCCTGTGTGCTCAGTGGCAAACCCAGGCATGGACCAGAAGTACTTCTGATACATTTCCGGATCCACTGCTGAGCATGTGGGGGGGACCCCTGCACCCCTCTGGCTCAGTGATCAGCTGTGGGGGGACCCTGGGTGCTCCCCCAGACCCAGGAGGCATCAGTCACTGAGCCAGGGGAGTGCAGGGGGGGGGCCCCAGCGTGCTCCCCAGCCGACCCAGAAGAGGGCCCTAAGTGCTTCTGGGGTCCACTTCTGGGTCTGTGCCAAGCACACTGGGGAGCCCCCCATGCTCCTGTGGGATGCTCCATCTGCCCCACCATTGCAGCATTCACAAGTCACTTGGTACCTTGAGGTATGTAGAAAAAGCATTTAAAGGTGTGTCTATATCTGAATCGTTGAATCTTTCCAAATCTCTACAAATTGATTTGGAGGGTTCCGATTTGATTCTGAGAAATTGAAGGGTCCTCTGATTAGATTTGGATTCGGAGATTGGGCTACTGAATCAGGCCAAATCTCTGCCAAATCAAATTAAGGGCTGAAGCTCCACACAGCCCTAGTATGGGGTTTCTGGGAAGCTGTAGGTATGGGGGAGGCGGGTCATGGAGGGAGAGGGTGGCTGGGGGTGTGTGGGTGCATATGCATGGTGGGTTGTATGTGTGGGGGCCCCCCTTCGTGTACAGCCTCTGCTGCCAGTGGCAGCAGCATGCGGAGTCCTACAGTGGCACATGGTCTTGGCAAGCCCCAGGACTGCACATGGCTGGGTCACCAGCTCCATCACATAGGGCTCACATGCCTGAGACCCATGGTGCCAGGGGGAGCCCTGTGCAATTAAGTCTGCAGTACAGATCATGAGGCTTGGCTGGGGCAGCAGGGAGAGGAGTGGAGCTGGCCTGGCTCCATAGAACAGAGCTCCCCGCTGTTCCCTGTGACCTGCACATAGCAGTAAGCATGGCTGGGCTGCCAGCTGCATTGTGCAGGGCTCCTCCGAGGCATGTGGCTAGTGTGGAGAGCCCAGGAACTGCAAGCAAGCCTTGCACAATAGAGCCAAATGGACTCCACACTCCTGCCAGCCCAGGCTCTGTGGTCATGCTGCCTGCCCTGGGCCCTGCTGGCTGCGGACCCTGTGCTCCTGCCCGCTGCTGCCGTCACTCCTCCTCTGCCTACCCACCCTCCACCACTGCCACTGTTATCACCACTCCTGCCCCCTGCTACTGCCACCACTTCCACCCCTGCTGCTTCCCCTGTCCCCACTTGCTGCCTCTGCTGCCCTTCCTCTGCCACTTCCCTACCTTCCCCCCTACCTGCTGCCCCCTGCCATCACTTCCTCGCTGCCACCACCACTTCCCCCACCCACTGCTGCTTCCCTACCTGCAGGGCTGGAATTAGGCCATCCCATGGGCAAGGATGGGAGTGTGCTGCCCCTGCGGGAGTGAGCAGGACCCAGCCCAAGCAAGCACGGCTGGGACCAGGCCAGCCCGGGGCTGGGCCAATTGGTAGGCATCCACTTGTGCCCCGGATGAAATTGCCTGGTGGGCCAGATACAGCCTGCAAGCCGTATTTTGTCCACCCCTGTTTAAAATGTGATGTAGTATGAGAGACTATACCCAGGCTGCCTTTAGCCATTTGCCAAAATGAGTGCAGTCTCCAGGATGTGTGCATTGAGTCCTTGGTTTGTTTGCTGTAGTGCTCTTTTAATCTAACTGCCTCCCACTCCTGACCACAGTCAGTTCTGAAGGGTTTGAACTTGAAGTATTATACAACACAGCGTTGTAGCTCAAACAGCTACAAGTGCTAGTTGACCACAGAAAGCTAGAGAATCTCACCTCCAAAATCATACCAGAATGCTTTAATAAACAAAACCACATGTTTTCTCTCTCTTACATGGTAAAAATTGTATGAAGTCTTCAGAATTTTTTTCTATAAATGTTTCATGTTGCAATGAAAGAGCAGAAGTGTTTGAAATAGATCATGTTAATCAGTATAATAGTTTAGAACTGCGGTAGTAGCATAACCAAAAGGAGAAAATTGCTCTTTGTTTCCTAAAAATAATGTGATATAATTTGGGCTCTTACCTCAAGCCATTCTAGGAAACCTGCTATATCTTGACCTATATTGCGTGTGTTCTGTACTGCTATGGGATAGTGCTGATGAGCAAATGAGAGCCAATCTGCAATCATCACATTAATTTCTTTATGCTTAGATTTCAGGGTTGCTGCCATCTTCCAAACCCAGCTTTCTAACATACCGTCTACCTGTTTAAAAGACAGAAAAGAGGAAAGGGGAAGAAAAAACTTAAGACCATCTTTTTTTACCTGTGAAATTTGTAATTCAAACCCCATGGAAACAGGAATTGATCAAGCAATGAGAATTAGTTAGTACTAATAGCTATGACCAGGGAACACAGCCTGTTTTATATATCGTTATTATATGTGGTAACATACATTGGAGGGGCATCTTAACTCAAGAGCCTGCGTCAAAAGCTTTTATTATTTGGATGTGTAAATTTGACTTTTTACATTGCTGAGGATACTGCTGCATATAATTTCTTTTCTAGAAAAACAAATGTCCAAAACTGCTTGCATTTCACTTTAGAGCAGCTAAAATGCAAAAAATCTAGTTGTAAGTGGGCTGGGTGCTTCCTGATTTGCAGGCTTTAGATTTTTCTAGAGCAGAGGTGCTCAAGCTTTTGGCCTTGTAGACTGTATGATTAGCATAGGGCTGGTCTATAGGGCCAGATCAGAAGAACGTAAGAACTGCCACTTATTGATTCAGAGCATTGGTCCATCTTGCCCAGTCTCCTGTGTCAGTGGCAGAGAGCGAATGTTGAAAGGGAGAGGGAATAGGGTATAACCAAAGTTTTTGTCACTGTTCCTCTTTTACTTGCAGGCTTCAGCCCTACATGCCAAGGTTGGACCACACACTGCTTCTGTTTGGCCCTGCACACTGGGATAGGGCCTTGAATGACCTCAGCTGGCCCCTGTAAACCAGGATTGGGCCCTGCATTGGCTCCATATGATGTGATTGGGCCCTGGGGACCCACACCCACCCATCTGGCCCCATATGGTTCAGGCTTCATGTTGCCCAGTGTGCCTAATCTAGCATGAAGGGCCTGTTGGTCCCCAAGGGGCCAAAAATTTGCCATATTTTCAGACCTGTGGTGAGCTCCACAGACATGGTGCTGGCTGTCAGGGCCTCTGATCAAGCATGCCCAGATGGGCCAAGCACTTGAGGTACACCTGCCGGTAATCCCTGGCTAATATCATCCCAGTTCTCCGCAACCAGATTGGCTCCTGGAAGCACCACTCACCCCTTTAAAGCACACCTGCAGCCACAGGCTGCAGGCACGCCTTGACATAGCCTCTCTGTTTTGGCAAGCCTCGTGTTCACTGTTCTCTCTGGTTCTCCCGACTCCTGACCCAGCTTTAGCTTTTCCTGACACTGACCTTGGATCTCCTCTGGAACTCGGTACTGGTCCTCTGACCCCTGGTTTCTGATCTTGGCTCGTTGCTCAAACTATGTCTCTTGGATCTCCCCTCTTGGCTTTCCTAGAATTTGGTCCACACATTCTCTGTTCCTCTGGCCCAGACCCCAACCTGATGCTTTGGTAATTTTTATGCTCCTGCCTTGCAGACCCCCTAGTTGCTACCAGTGACATACCACAGGCCCAGCTGTCTATGTCCTGGCCAAAGCCTTCCACACTGGTGGCCAGATCTGGAGTCTTGTTACCATGTTTTGAAATATAGTATTTTTGGCCTAAATTTATCATTTTTATGAAAAAGTGTTTGATTGCAAATCCCTGGTTCACATGAGTAGTTTCATTTAATTCAATGGGCTAGAAATCCCTAATGTGTGCTTTTTTTTAAATTGTAAGAATCCTTACTTCCCATCATATTGAATATAACCAATTTTTCCAATTACTGAAACTGTCAGAATTAAGTTAAACTAGTTGCCTGTATGTCTCCTACCAATGGAATTTATAGGTCTTTAAATCTCTTCTTCATTGGACCTTTAACGGAGTTTTGAGAATTAATACTGAAATTTTGGTTTAATTCTTTTTGAACTAAAAAGCTTTCTAGCATGGGCCTGGATCCCTCTGTTAATGTGAATATTTTCATCAATGGGAATGGGATCAGGCCTATCATTTGGCTGCACAGTAGGCATAATGTTTAAGCAAATTTTCTCAATTTGGTAAAGACCCAGGCTAAAATGCTGGCTGGAAAGAAGTTAATGGGAGTTTGCCATTAACCTCAGTGGTGCTAGGATTTCATTGCTGCTGGACATGAGGCTACAGTAAAAACTCTTGATTTCTGATATGGTACATCTGTTCCAATTTTCAATTGTATAGTCATTTTCCATTTTCTTACAAAACATACGTATCACGTAAAAGAAACTTGGGTGAGATTTATTTGTTTGAGACACTGCTGGAATAATTTTAGGATACACATAACATCATTAGGAACATGGTAGTGGAGTAAAGAGGTGTGCGGAGTTTAACATCCGTTTGTTGGGGACAGGAGAGAAAGATGATGCCAAATAATTCAAGGTGATGATATAGATTTACTCAGACAGATGCTTCTTGCCACCTTCACTAATAATGCTAATTCTGTAAGATTCTGCTACAGATATGTAATAAAATAATGTAATTTCCTCTTCCCTTTTTAACAGTTGATCAACATTTTGTTCTAGACCAGCATTGTTATTTGTTTGAAATTAGCTTCTTTTTTAAAAAGAAAAAACAAAACAAAATATTTTAACTTGGAACCAGTTCAGTGATTATTCATTGCTGTTGAGGGCTTCATTTTCAGCTGAAAGTGCTTATGAAAGAAGATCTGTCTGTGGAAGAGACGTGGAGAAATTTCATGCATTTCTTTTAAAAAACAATCAGTAAATAACTGGCTGCAAATGGAACAGAAATGAAACTGTTCATTCAATCCTCTAGAGATCCAGCACATCAGTTCAGCTACTTGTTCACACACTGTTGGTATTAAACTAAAGAATGAGTCTAATCCTTAGCACAAGTTCCCCATATGAAAAGTTGGTTGTTTATTTATTTCTGCCTCAGTTTCAATGGAAGTACCCAAATTTGGACTTTTTCAAGCAATGTCTTCTTCTAGGGAAATGTGCTGTCATTTTAGTCCTGAATTTTCTTTAGAAGATGCTTTTTAGTAGCATCATAGTGAGAGGCAAAGTAGATCAAATCTGATGCAGTTTGAACTAAAAAGAAAAGAATGTGAAGTTCATACCGACCATCCATGGACTATCATCACTAGAGGAACAGAGGAATTGAAATTGCATCTGTCAAGAGTCTCCATCTGATTAAACACAATCAGACAGCCTTCTTCAGCTGGGTCTGTATAGAGTCGAAATTTGGTTTGTAAGTTCCGTTGGTCTTTCTTCATTCTGGTGTACCGATGCTGGGAGTCCAACGCCTCTGAAATGGGATTGAGGTAACATATGTTATAATACGGAACACACAACCTGTGAGGAATGCTTATGAAACACAATATAAGACAACAAAGTACAGTCTCATAGAGTAAACTCCTTTATAACAAGGATTACAAAGAACAAGCTGCAAAGTTTAGATCAAAATATGACGTTTGTGAGAGTGTGAAGCTGGTTAGGCATGAGTTTGGTTTGGACTCATCGCTTTTGATCACTTGAGTTGCACAGGAAATTTTGACATCATAATTACATTAACTAATACAATAAGTGCCATAAAGCAAGGTACAGTTGTGATTTTACAGTGCTCTTATATACATAGACAAACACTTTCATAAGCTAGTAGTTCTGCAGAGGGTGTGTCACCTAATGTGCATCTGCTTGTAGCTTCTGAGTAAGCATCATTATGCTAAAACAACCATTTAATATGGAGTTATAATCCTGCTTAGGGACGTATGTTGTGAGAACATATTTTAAGTGATTTGTCTCTAGAAGGCCAAGATAAAATGTCCTTGTATTAGTTACAGTATATGCAATTTCAGAGAAAATGGGCTTGCAGAAGATATAGAGTAGGATTTTTAGAAAACTAAATTCAGAATGGTACCATATAATTGGAGAGCTGCATGGTAGTAACTATGGATACTTATACACATGTCAGACCTCTGCTTCTATGTGTGCTAATGAGCACATGCTGGAGCAGACTCGATTAATCGAGTCTGCAGGGGTATGCTAACTAGCGTGTTCTGGCAGCTTCTGCATCACGTGTTTTCGGTGTCCCTGCATTTCAAAATGACATTGGAGGCACTTTAACTAAAGCTCATCGAATGACACGTGACACTGCACCCTCTGTCCCCTCCACCTTGGAGCACATGCTCTATATTTAAGATGCTCTATATTTAAGAAGAGGGTGTTGGGAGGTGAAGTGATTCAGGCAACCACAGTCCCGTTAGTATAGTCCTCAATAGTATGCCAGACTTTAAAGCAAATTTCAAGGAAAGAAAAAAGATGTGGAGGTAAGTGGAAATGGAATATAAAGAAGGATGCTTTTACAAAATGTGTATTTGTTTGACCTGATATCTATTTTTGATAACATTACTAATTGTAGATAATGGAAATGGATAGGATGACCTAATCTGTCTGGATTTCAATAATGCATTGGACATTGAGCCACATGGGAAATTACTGGGGGAAATGATGTTATAAGGTCCATCACATGTGGTTAGTACAAGAATTGTAAAGGCAGAAAAGAACTCAGCAGAAGGAGACTACAGCATGTTATGCTGAAGGGGGAAATGTCAGGTTGGAAATTTAGTGTGTGAGTTCAAGTTTTGGCCTTGAGATGAATCTTATTTAATATTTTCATTAACAATCTGAGCATGTAAAATAGGTGTCAACTAATTAAATTAGAAGATACCTTTTCTCTAGGGCAAAAGATTGAGAAGTCACTCAACTGTCAAGAGAAATACTCAGAACTCCATGAGGCCTTATAGGATGTTCCTTTAAGAAACAACCAGGAAAATAGGCTGTACAAACTGTTTTTTATAATTAAAAAAAACCAAACCATTTAACTAGTTGACTCAACAATGCTAGGCAGCTTTGAGGCCCAGAAAATCCAAGGAAAGCCTCAAGAGGACAATGACAACCAGGTGTTTTGTTGTTAGACCCAGGCAGTACAGACATGGAGCTTCTTGAAGGGGGAAGACAAATAAGAATTCTGAAAGAATTTAGGAGGACGTATGCAGGAATGAAACCCACACATGGACAATGTGTTCAGTTCTTGGATGAAAGTTGTCTACTACATACAAAATATAATGTATTATTATATGCTTGCTTGTAGTTCAGTTTCCAAATGTAAGCATGACATATGTGAGTACAGGTATTCTTGTACATCATGACTTACTCTTGTAGATAAAGATTTTTCATAAACCAGGTTATGCTCTGTCACTGCACTCTTCCCCAAAGTGCCTCCACTAGCAAATTCATCTATGTGTTCTGATGACAGTTTAACCAGAGCATATGGGAACTTCACATGCATAAAGCTTTGTAGCATTGGGGTTTTATAATACGCAGAACCTAAATCATTTACAAAAGCAATTCTGCTCTTCAGGCTAGAATGTATTTTTGCAACACAAGACACTTACTATAACCATTATTTGGTATTGTATATTAGTAATTGTGACAGGGCAGCAAGCCTACCCTGTCATGAAACACCAAAAGAACAAAGGGGGAAAAGAAACTTGCTGAAGAGGTGAGCCTGGATGGGGGAAAAGCCAAGCAGGAGTCCCCAGATGCAATCAGCTGGGAGAGTTGGTAAAGCAGCAAATGGGGCGCTATGGCCAAGCACACAGCTGATCTGTGCAGGAATTTAACGGCGAGCTGAATGAGCAGTCAGGGCTCCTCTGGTGAGGGGAACAGCATGAAGAGGAACTCGAGGGAGCACGAAGCTGTGGCGATGGCATACAGCTGACCAGGGAATGGCCGAAGAGTGTTCCAACAATGACCTTAGCTGAAAAGCAGGGATGAAGAGGGAGATGCCGCATCTGAGCCGGTGATTTAGAGTCTGGTGGGTGCGGGGCTTCATTCTGGAGACCTGGATAAGGAAGAAAGATGGATCGGAAATGTGACTTTGGGGTGTTGGCCCAAGATAGTCCTCCCCGAAGGATAAGGGTGGGGAGATTGTATGAATGTTTATTTGAGACCCGTGGGGTGAAGAACAGGACAAGAAGCCAATGGCAAGACACCAGCTGCTGGGTCATTAAGCAAGGCATCATAGAGATTATGACTCCCACAGGGGAGACCCAATGAGATGAATGCTGAAACATCTGGTGTGGTAAGGACAGGGTGTGGGCATGGTGGAGCCCTGTGAAGAAGAGCCAACCTTCTAAGCTGTAGAAATTAACATCAGCTTTGTCTCCTAGGACTGTACCTATTTGGTTCCTTCCTTTCCATCTAAGTCATGGCAGAAAAATTGAAAGGAGACTATCCGGTCCAGGGACAGAGAGAGAGAGACTGTAATTTTATTTTGGTGGCACGGCTAGGTCTTCCACAGTAATCAAAAGCATAATGAGAAAAGCATATTCTAGTTGACTATCAAGTGTGTGAAATGTTGTTCATGGCAATGAAATTCCCAAAACTGCATTGCACACATGTGCTGCTTTTTCCTGCCATTAATTATTGTAAATTCCATTTTATAACAACAATCCACTCCTGGACAGTATGTTACATTTCATGTATGGGAAATATCACTGTGGGGGGTGGGAATGGTTAATCTATTTAAAGGGGGCTTAGAGTTCATTTGTTTTTTAGATTTCACTATTAACAAAAGGTTAGTTGTCAAAATGCTCAGCTTGAGTAATACAATGTGAAATACTTTTCTTTAAAGATTAGTTTGACTATTGTAGCTATTTAGAACTTAGCTGGATTGATTGTCCTTCACAGCATGGAGTCATGAGCACATCTGCTGAATCAATATCATGAACTTCCAACTTCAGAGTGTCATGACCCAAAGGCATGATTTTGTGTGTGCTTCGGCACCAGAATTATCCCCGCCAAGTTGCAGCTTCATTGCACGGGAGAGTTTCTTGTTGCAGAGGAAAACCCCAGTGCAGGGACGAGTTTCCCGCCTTTCTGCAGCTTCTTTTGCAGAGTGCATTGCTCATGTTGCAAGAGGAATGCACGGTGCAAAAGAGT